AGCCCAAAGACAGACCCTCATTAGACCCAAACAACTCAAACTCGCGGCCATCCACTTGATCCCGACCCTTAGCCAGCCTCTAGACAGGACAGAACCGCCCCTGTGGGTTTCCAGATCCTGTAGCTCTTTCCGGGATGAGAAAGCCTGGTCTTTCTCCCGCAGAGCGGCTGGTGAGTCTGAACTGCCCACCTTGTGGCTGGCAGCCCAGCAGGTGACCACGATGCCTCCGAGACTTAGTCTCATTCATCAGTCAGCTGCTGAGGCTCCTGCACCCCAGCAAAAAGAGTTGGTCTCCCCGCCAATCTCAGTGAGAGCTTTGGCCCCATGAATGTGGGCAGCTGGTGTGGAGGTCAAACCCCAGCCAGGAGGGTCCACCCCTCCCCTCAGCATCTGAGAGGCTCCCTTGCCAGGCCTTAGAGGCCCAGCGTCCGGAGTCGGGCCCTCGTTGCCCAGGAAGCAGCCACTTAGCAAAGGAACTAGCAGAAGGCCTGACCCATCCTCTTCCTCTCCCCGCCCCAGGGTTCCCAGTTCGTGGAGTGGGCCTCCGCAGGACACCTCAAGTCAGTGTGGGTGAACCGGGGCGCCCCGCGGGCCTGGGATCAGGAGACCCAGGGGGCCGGCCCAGAGTTCAGGCTTCGGGCATCTCGGACCAAGATCCTGTGGCTGCCCATGGGAGACTGATGTGTGTGCCCACACAGAGAGAGGAGAGAGAACCCCAGAGGTGTGAAGCCGCTGGGAGCATCCTCTGATCATGGTCCCCATGCCCTCCAATAAACCTTCCGGCTGCCCCCGGCTGTACTTCTTGACAGGGAGGGAGGGAAGGAATGGTGCTTCTGGGCTGCTTGAGGCTCTTAATTCTGAAATTCAGTACAATACAGCGTTTGTGACATAGACCAAGCGGCCCCTGAGGACCCTCAGACAGGGTCAGATCCATCCGCCACTCTTGGCTCTCTGTTAGATGACCAGCTGCCACCGTCTGCACAGTGCCTGCGGCTACACAGTGGGTGTGCCCGTTAATCAGCTCTGCGAGGAGGGCTGGGAGGTGGGGAGAAAACACAGTCCTCATGAGTAACTTACTGCCAATGTCTGCGGTGGAAATGCTTCGTCCACTGGTGTGGTAATAATTCACACCAAACTAGTCCCAAGGAATTGGAGATGAAGACGTCTCAAATGCCCAACTCTTCTGAGATAGCCTTTAAGTGGCCCCATCACTCCCTTTACTGAGGTTTGAGCTTTATCTCATCCTGTTCCTTAGCAGATGATGCCCTCCGAAAAGAGGCATATGAAATCCAGACGTATACCACAGAAGGGATTCTGGCTGGAAGGGCCCCCACCCCCCAAAAATTGGAATTTATTTTATCAAAGCTTTGTATTTAATTTTTTTTTTTTAAACAAAACAACCTTATTACCTTCAAAGTTCTCAGCATTACATACACTTAATACACTCGTCGAATCTGTGATTCCTTCTTGGAAACATTTTTCAAACTCAACTGTTTGATGGCTGACGTGCACCTCCCACGATTTTTTCTCCACCTCGTCCACGTCATCAAATCATGTCCTTTCATGTCCCTCTGCATCCTCAGAAACAAAAACAAGTCACACGGAGTGAGGTCAGGTGAGTCCATTGCATGGGACAAAAGAGGCATGCTGGTTTTTTTGCCTAAAACTGGCACGCTGAGATGGCTGCGTGAGCAGGTGCATTGTTGTGGTGGCAAACCCGTCCCCCGTCTGCCACAAATCAGGCCTTTTGTGTTGCACACTGTTAGGCTATCTTCAGAACCTCTAAATAGAAAGCTAGATTCACAGTCCGACCTGGTGGAACAAACTTCAAATGCACTACTGGTCGACATTTTCATCTGTTTGGGAAGTTGACAGATGTCCAGAAAGCTTTGTCGTCACCATCGACCTTTCGCCTTTTTTTTGGAAATGAGGTAACCACTCATACACTTGAGTTTTTCCCATAGCACCGACCTCTAAGCTGTGTTCCGCATCGCAACAATTTCTGTAGCACTTTTCCAGAGCAGGAAACAAAATTTCACAGCCGCATGCTGTTCTTTTAAATCCGCTATCACCAAAAACAAGGTTTGAACAAAACTGCTTTTACAAAAAAATTCACTGACCAGAGAGAACCTTCCCAGGTGACGCCACTGGGTGCACTAACTCAGAGCAAGTTGCTCGATGCTCACCTAACAGGAAAAATGCCCAGTGGAACTTTTTTCCATTTTTTTTAAATGGGGGGGAATACCCCCTCATATTTCTGAAAAGTCAGCCATTGAGAACCCTAAGGGGCACAGTTCTACTCTCTGTTCTGCCAGGACTCAACTCCAGGGTAACCGGTGGTTTCAATTTTAAGCTATAGGTGACCAAGCTGCCCACACCCTGCCTGGAATAAATGACATTTTAACCTACAGCTCCTATGAGTCAGTATGAGCTGCTGGCTTTTGCAAACAAGTATTCTAACTGGTGATTTATTTTTAGTGGATAAAAATATATACGAGGGGAGTTCAAGAAATTAGAAAGATGATGAAATTTTTCCATGAACTTTGGAAGCTCCCTCGTATGGCAGGGCATTTGCTATTTATTTATTTTTGCCCAGATGTGCAAGCCCATGGCATTAACCTTAAGCATCATTTTTTGCAACAAAGCCACCAGCATTTGTTTCCGGTTTTTACCTCACTTGAAAAAAAAAATCACCCTTTCGTCAATAACTCGCCCTTCCCCCTCCCGCAGGACTGTGATAAAATCTAATTTGTTGGTCTATCCATTTGCCTGTTCTAGGTAGTTTACACAGTGGGATCAGATAAGACTTGTCCTGTCTTGTTTTTCTGTCCCTTTTTTTTTTATATTCGTGTTTTATTTACTCAGATTTTATATTAGACCCTTTAATAACATTTTATAGATTTAAAAATTAAAAATATTTATCCCTAGGTATTTTATGATAGTCATTGCTGTGAATAAAATTTTTTCTCCTGAGGTTTATATTAAATATCCTTCTAAGTGCTCATTGGTTTGAGATTTAATTTCTTGAGCTTTCTACCTATATATCACTTGTAATTAAAAATAATTATATTTTCTTTTATAATATATAAAAATATTCATAGATACATGTGTAATTAGTTTTTTTCCCCGTTTTAAAACCATTTTATTGGGGCTCGTACAACTCTTACCACAATCCATCCATCCATCCATTGTGTCAAGCGCATTTGTACATTTGTTGCCATCATCATTCTCAAAACATTTTCTTTCTTTTTTAAAAACATTTTCTTTCTACTTGAGCCCTTGGTATCAGCTCATTTTTTCCCCTTCCGCCAACCCCCTCCCTCACAAACCCTTGATAATTTATAGACTATTATTATTTTGTCATGTCTTACACTGCCCGACGTCTCCCTTCACCCACTTTTCTGTTGTCCATCCTGTGTGTTGTATTTCACACCGATTCATGTTTCCAAGGTGTTAAAGGATGAGTGGGTTCCCCTGGGTGGTTGAATACCACTCCAAGCTTGGCACACATCCCGGATAAAGAAGGGTAGTGTGCCAGGCCAGCACTTGAACAGTCCCCAAGACCCGGAACTTTGAGTTCACCCAGCGGCCGCTCCATAGAAAGGTTTGGAAATCCGAGGGGTGGCACACTTCTGGCCTGCGTGGGGTGCCCAAGAGTTGTGGTCCAGCTGTTGCCTGTGTTGTGGTACGAGGCACACTGTGTCTACACATCTGTTGTGGACCACGTGGGTGGTTTACACCTTTGGGCTTTCGGATGGTGCTGCCCTGGTGGCGGCGTAGTGGTCACAAATGGTCAGCAGTTTGAAACTTACCCTAGCGCAGTAGTTACCTAATCCAGTGTCACTTTGGGACTTGAGAGGATTAAGAGTAAAGGGGTGGCGTCTAGTCTGTCAATCGATCATAGCCAGTGCAGCCTCTGTGTGGGCATGGCCTCCTGAGAATTCTGGGAAAGCCGGTATTCCTTCTTGGGGGCTGGAGACGCTTCTCACCGTCATTCCCTTGGAGACGCTCTACTGACAAGACAAGGCTGACTCCCTGTGAGACATCCCTGAGGAGAAGCCACATGGACCTACCCTGATGCAGCCAGAGCCCTGGGAACTGGAAAAGCCATGTAGAGACCCCTGACAGCACTGAGATGCTTACAATGCCACTGCATCCAAAGACTTTCTACCCACTGGCCTGTGATCGTCCTGCATTCGGCGTCATTGCATGCGTTTCATGAGTCTGAAGAGACCTTATAGATTGGTATCAGACATATGGGGATCAGACTTAGGGACTGGACTGGGCTGGGCTGGGGTGTTTTCTCAATAGTCAATTACTCTTGTGTATCAACCTCTTTCTTATACACATATGAGTTTCTATGGATTTGTTTCTCTAGTCTACCTGGACTAACACACCCAGCCACTCTTGTGCGAGAATGATGCGGCCTTCTACTCCTGTCAAGAGTTAGTCTCATGCGACTGAATTGTATGACCTGTCAGTGCAAAGGCCCTGAGGCAGGAGTGTGTGTGGTGGGGAAGTTCTAGTTCAGCGAGGTGAGGGCAGATGGCCTGGGGCCAGACCCTCCAGGGTCACACGTGGGCCGCTGACAGGCCTTGGATCCCGAGCCGAGGAGGGCTGGAGCTCATGCAGGTACACACAGGGTCATCAGTGGTGGGGATGTGATACTGGTCCAGAGATTGCCAGCCGGTGGCTGCCATGGTCTGAGCAGGAAGTGACCTTGGAAGGGGCTTGTGCAGGGAAGTCAGCAGTGTGGAATGGTCGGATTACGGATGGACGCCCCTGGAAGGTCGATGGAACGGGTCTATTGAGAGGTTCAATCAGGGGGGACCCCAAGCAAGGGGCTCTGGTGGCGCACTGGCTAAGCGCTCAGCTGCCAACCCAAAGGTTGATGGTTCAAACCCACCCGGCGGGGCTACAGGAGGAGAAAGACTCACGATCTGTGCCCATAAGGCACCCGGACCTGCAGTGAAAACCGCCGCCGACGGGCCATCAGCTCCGTTTTAAAACCCACCTACGGGAGGCCAAATGTGCCAAACATGGGCCAAATTCCGCCAAAGCAAAGATGAGCCCGGGGGTAGAGAAACTCGCGTCTTGGAAAATGGGGCAATGAGAACGGGAGATGAGTGTGAACGAAGTCCCACGATCACGAAGTACCCCAGATCCGTGAATCGCTGGGTGGATAGCTCAACGGGAACCTGATTTGCTGGGTAAAGTTTCACCTTTGACACCAAACCCGACTGCCATCAAGTCCGGGTAGAACTGTCCCTGTGCGTTTTGGAGACCGTCACTCTTTATGGGAGTAGAAAGCCCAGGCTTTCTCCCGCGGAGGCTGCTGGTGGTTTCAAACTGCCGACCCCGAGGATTGCAGCCCAATGCGCAACCACTCCCCACCAGGACGCCTTCCGTTTTTGCACCATGAAGTCTTATGAACCACCTCTATTGAGTCGTTCTGCTGCGCTCCATGAGGGCTGCCGTCAGACCAACTCGAAGACCAATATTAAGCAATCATGTGGCTCCTTGAAGCCCCAAGCCCCATGGGACAGTTTTAACGCTCTGAGCCAGTGATCTCACGTATGCATCTATGTGGGACTGAAAGTTCCTGGTAATGCCCCGGAGGGCTTTTCGAAGTCCCCTTTGTGTATAGGAAGGTCAATCCAGAAGTATTGCTCCAAAATGAGAGAAGGTTGTATTAACCAAAGATGTCAAAATGTCAAGCGGTTGCTCTCTTAAGATATCCTCCATCCTAGATCTATGCATTTCTGAAGGTGGTGCCTCCATTTCTCAAACCGTTCCCCAAACACTTGGGTGCTCAAAACACAGTCGCAGCACCCTGGAGCAATTCAAACCATGTTCTTACTAACTAAATGCTCTTCGAGTTTGGAAGCAAAAAGAAGTCTTCAGGGGCAAGAACAGGGCTGCAGGGTGGAATGGGGTAAGGTTTCCAGAAGAAATCCTAATAGGACAAGTCTTGGGGTAAGGTTTCCCACTGAAATTCTCATAGGACAAGCTGGTACATTGTCATATTGGGGGAGGGAGGGGAAGCCACAACTTTCCTGGCCCATGTAGATTTCCTAGCCCTCTTTTCTTACCCCTGTAGATTTCTTAAAACTCCTTCACAATAAGCCCCTGTGATTGTTCTGAGTTCCATGAGACCAGGTGAACTAGATGGTACCCGGCAACCGTTACTGAACATTTTGATCAGTGATTCTGTACAAGAATCCTGATCAAAAGGGGGATGGATATGTATGGTACAGAACTGGAAAGTTGTCACGGTATTTCTGGAGCCATTGAAGCTGGGCCCTGCTCTAGAACCTGCACTGAGGAAATCTTTAAGCCTTAAGCAAAAAACATCCCTTGAAGTCATCTTTTATATTTTATTTTATTTTTTCCCTTGAAGTTATCTTTAAACTAAGCACTCACTACCATGAAGTGGATTCTGACTCATAGTCACCCTATAGGATGGAGTAGAACTGCCCCTGTGGGTTTCCTAGACTGTAAATCTATACAGGAAAAGAAAGCCTCTTCTTTCTCTTTCTGAGTGGCTGGTGGGTTTGAATTGCTGACTTGCAGTTAGCAGCCCACCAGGTAACCCACTATATCCCCAGGGCTCCGAAAATACCAATTTAGCTTACTTGGAAAAGAATGGCCTCCCTCAGCGTGCTGTGGTGTCTGTGTCCAAAGAATTAGCTCTGTGAGATCAAATTGACCAATGCAACTGGAAAGGTTCGATGGGAAACCTAGAGCAGTGAGTGTGCTAAAGGCAAGAAAAATGGCAGGACTTAAAGAATGTAGCCCCTGCCTCTGCAATATACATGCAGACGAGGCTGAATTGATTAATGTCTGTTTTCCTGTGTATATCTTCACCAAAAAAATGAAAGTAAACAAAAAGAGAAACTTGAATAAATATTAATTCAGAGGGGGTTAAAAATAACCACATACAACTCCTAGGCACTGGGCTTGAGCT